ACCTTAAACCCAAATAACCTACCTTTTTCGGGGGCCCTCAACAACCCCGCGACTCCAAGATGTAGCAATTGAGCTTCAACAAGCTGGAACCTCACTCATTCGACCTTGTGTGATGTAGTCTCTGTCGCTGCTGAGAGTTCGACGAAGGCCTTTATGAATTATGAAGCTCACAGCCTGAAAGGCTAATGTGTATCAAACGTAGGCGGCAGTGCAGCTGAAATTGGCTGTGTTACTCATTTGCTCGCACTTACAATACTACGGATAGATCCTACGCCCAACAAGCGCTAAACCCTGAACCCTAAACCAAATACCCACAACCTTCACGCAGAACACCCCGTCACCCTGATTCTATATTCTGCCCGATCCTGCCTTTTTGGGTTTATGCTGAGGATCAGTCTATAGCTGACACGCTGAAGGACCCCTGGGATTTACGGAGGCGCTGAATCATTCGCGTCTTCTCCGCCTTGAGGCTCTGAGCTAAGAATCCTGCATGACCATCATCTGGTCCAAACTCCGAGGAAAGTATAGTAGCGTGGTACAGTTGGCCATGTTGAGTATGCTAAAGTACTGGAGTATAGAGTATAGTATAGTGACGCAGGATTCAGACATCTCAGCCGGGTCACTGGCTCACCAATGAACCTTTCGGGCTCCTGATTAATAAAGTCTCAGTAAGTGTCGGTCCCGGGGCTTCTGGTCACGAGCCCCGTGGCCAACTCACTCGCCCTCAAAATCCAAGCTTTTCAATGCACTGTGCTTGCAAAATAGAGTATTGCAGCTTGCCATAGCATACTCAAGTATGTTGTCACCAGGATCATTTGGGCTAATTTGGGCTCTTGTTCTCCGTTTCAAAAGTAAACAGAAACCTCTTCGATTTCGACTTCGCCATGTGGATAGCTCCCTTCGGGAGTCATCCGAAGACTCAGCGGCGCCATGCAAAAAAGCAGCAGCTTCCGAGAGCCACTTGTTGATTGAACTGCCTGCAAACGGCCGCTGATGAGATCACACGCATCTGCTGTGTCAAGTCGTATCTCCAACGCCGAGAAAGACAAAGCAGAGCTGCCAGTCTCCATTTCATGCCAACTCCGCTCCAGAAGCTCCACTCCAGCCGCAGAAAACAAGGTGGCCGGATGCTTCCCCAGGCAAAACAGCTGCGATGATGCCTGGACAATCTGAAGGTCCATGTCGATTAGAAGCGAAAGAAACCTGTCTTCAGCAACAGCACCGGTCTGCGGTGGCGCTGCACGCGCAGTCGGCTTTGAGCCAAGGGAACTGCATACCCCCACAGACACGGGCGTGATAGAGCGAGGAGAAGTGGACAAGCTCTCGACGACTTTGCTGCCTACCAAGGAGTCCTGGTCTGTAACGTCGCGGAGGCCAATGAGGTGCCTGGCAACACCCTGCGGGGTGTGATACATCACTTGGAAAACTTCCGTGCGAAACCTATTGGAGTCGCTGTCCATGAGGTGTGTCAGAAAGGCCTGGGCATTGACGCTCTCAGGGGGACGATCTTCGAAGCGCCGCAGCAGCTCCACAACACGGCCGGCCTCGGCAGCACCTGCAAGCAAGTCCGTGAAGTCCATGCCAGCCAAGGTTCCTCCTGACCTGCACCGGAGCATCATAGCAGACAAGGAGGCTTTGTGCTCCGTCATTCGCAGATCAGCATCTAGCTCGACCACGGCGTCGCAAGTCAGGTGCAGAAGAGATGATGCAGCATTGAAGTCAGTTTCCATCTTCTTGTACTGCAGACTGCGCTCAATCCGTTAGCTCAACAGTAGCTGCAACGATACGGATGCAGACACAGTTGCGACGAGACCGCATACTTCTGCAAAAATGCTTATGGGTCGCATTGCTTCTGTGCCTGCGCGTATCAGCACCACTAGCAGCGGGAAGAGGCTGCATGCAGCAACCACGACCGGAGATGTAGCAATACCAACTGCAGGCAAACGGCCGAGGCCAAGAATGAAGAGGGAGATCTCCTGAACAAACGGACACCCTTCAATCCCTAACAGTTGTGCAGTTACGAAAAAAAGTACGAAACAAGACTGCTTGCGAGTCTAGTTTCTGCGCTTCGGTCAGGTGGCACATGCCATGGAGACAGGTGTGCTGCCCAGGCAAGGGAAGCCAGTATATAGTACATGTTCAGATATCGCACTGAAAGGGCACCCGGAAACATGTCTACAGCAGTACAGGTGCAGAAAATCCCTGCCCACGACCAAGTCAGACTAGCTGGCTGTCGAGTGGGCTGCTGCCTGTCCGTCAGCACATTCCACTGGACAAAGCACAGAGGCAGTGTCAGCATGAAACAACAGCACCTGACATACCAGCGAGCTATCCGTAAACGAACCTGGCTCACTTGTTCCATCACGAGCCGCTCATCGTCGGCCAGCTTGGGTCGCTTGAATGACCGTCCCATAGTCTTCAAGATGCTTCGGGCCGCAGAGAGCAGGTAGCCTCGGTGGCGCACCCCGGAGTAGACCAGCCTGCACACAAAGACGATCTGAAAGGCCCCCGTCACAACGAGAAAACTGTCATCCAGCCTGTTATCCACAGAACCTGCACCAGGGTCCATGAGCTGGTAGAATGCAAAACTGTCCTGAACTTAAACCCTGAAGTCGATATGATCTCGAGCCTGTGCCAAACGAAGCTGCTGTTGGTCTGAAACAGCTTCTTCAACATTCGACATCTTCCAATACGGTCAAGAAGACAGACAACAGAATCTGGCAAGGCGTCCGGTCCCTTCCTACTTTTCTGTCTGGGGTCTTTCTGTGCCAAATACATCTTACTAGTGATGCATCTCTATCTTGAGAATTTTGCAGTAACTCTATACACATATGCATGTAACTCTATATATATATATATACCCATATATACATATGTATATACAGACCATATATCTACATCTATCTATATATATATATACATGTCTCTCTCTCTGTCTCTCTCTCTAGTTGACCTTTCTCCTCAGGCTTCCTACTTGCAGGATCTTGGGTGGAAAAACCGAGAGCCCCGAGAGGCTGCATGTACCTGATATAGGGGCCTTCCTAATTAGAACAGGATTTTGGAGTAGATGATATTATAATTAGAAGAACCTCGAAAATAGTATAGGGATCCTTTTAAGGGTTCCTATAAAGGGTATATATTATGGGTGTAGGGCTTATAGCTTTTTAGGATCCCTGTACCCACATAGTACATACTTATAGGCCTTAAAGTACCTATAAAGGAACCCCGTATTAAGGCCTAAGTCATATAGGGTTTAGGGTTTAGGTTTTAGGGTATATACTAACTAATTAGTGCATGGAGCCTCAGTGGTTATAAGCAGAAGATTCAAACCTGAAAGGTACTGTTAAACCTCTAGGGCTTTTAGGGTTTAGGGTTTAGGGCGAGACCCTAAAACCCTTAGCCCTAAACCCAAAACCCCAAAACGCACAAGTATTGGGTTCTCAAAGATGCGTTAGCAGAGTTTCAGGCATTGGGGCTCGGCTTACAAACTCACTGCCGGGACGCCTGGAACAACCCGATTCATAATAGGGTTTAGGGTTTAGGGTTTAGGGATTAGGAGCCTCAATCACTCGGAAAAAGGTTTAAAAGGAACACAAGCAAAATCAAATTAAGGAGCCCAACAGAATAATGTTGGTAATTACTGAAGGTAATTATTCAAGCTTCTATTTTACTCAAAGCATCCTGCGTAGTGGCGAAATCAAACATCACTTGTAGCAGCTGCACGTAAAGTGGCTACAGCAACAACCAGTTATCTTCTCAAGCAAAGAGCGCTGTAACTGCTTGTGAATGCCTATCAACCACCCAAGTTCAAGCATACTTTCATCCATTCATCCTAAACTTGCCAGCCCCGCCACCTATATGAAGCAGTCAGCCCAAGCTATCCTAAGCCAACCCCTTCAAAACTCCTTTAACCCTCAAGTGTCAGCCCCAACGCATCAAGTGGGCTCGGCCAGGCCAGGGCAAGACAAGTAACTCAGTCAGCAGCTAAAATCAGAGATGTGGCTGTGGGGTAGTTTCTATATCGCAGTAATGGACAATGAAGGGGTACGTAGTCGTACCAGGGGTTTACAACCAGAGGAATGAAGGAGCAAGTCCGGTGAAAAACACAACTCACTTCAAGCTTCTAGGTCCCCTAACCCTAAACCCTAAATTCAGGGGTTTGGGGCTTCGACCTTGTGTGATGTAGTCTCCGTCGCTGCTGAGAGTTCGACGAGGGCCTTAATCAATTATGAAGCTTACAGCCTGGTAGGCGGCAGAACTGGTTGTGTTACTCATCTGCTCGCACTTATAATACTACTGATAGATCCTAAGCCCAACAAGCGCTAAACCCTGAACCCTAAACCAAATACCCACAACCTTCACGCAGAACACGCCGTCACCCTGATTCTACATTATGCCTGATCCTGCCTTTTTGGGTCTATACTGGGGATCTCTTATTTTCGAAGACTCACCTTTGCCTATAGTCTATAACTGACACGCTGAAGGACTTCTGGGATTTACGGAGGCGCTGAGTCATTCACGTCTTCTCCTCCTTGATGATGACATAGCTGAGTCTCTGAGCTAAGAATCCTGCATGACCATCATCCGGTCCATACTCCTAGGAAAGTATCAGTAGCGTGGTACGGTTATATAGCCATGTTGAGTATGCTAAAGTACTGGAGTTTATAGTATAGTATAGCGACGCAGGATTGCAGACATCTCAGCTGGGTCACTGGCTCACCAATGAAAATGTTCGGGCTCCTGTTGCCCCTTCGGTATCAGCAAGTGCCGGTCGGGGGCTTCTGGTCACGAGTCCCGTGGCCAACTCACTCGCCCCCCCAAACTGCCAGCATTTTAATGCACCGTGCTTCTAAAAACAGTATTGCAGCTTGCCATAGCATACTCAAGTATGTTGTCACCAGGATCATTTGGGCTGATTTGGGCTCTTGTTCTCCGGTTCAAAAATAAGCAGAAACCTCTTCGGTTTCGACTTCGCCATTTGGAGAGCTCCCTTCGGGAGTCATCCGAAGACTCAGCGGCGCCATGCAAACCAGCAGCAGGTTCCGAGAGCAACTTGTTGATTGAACTGCCTGCAAACGGCCACTGATGAGATCACACGCATCTGCTGTGTCAAGTCGTATCTCCAACGCCGAGAAAGACAAAGCAGAGCTGCCAGTCTCCATTTCATGCCAACTCCGCTCCAGAAGCTCCACTCCAGCCGCAGAAAACAAGGTGGCCGGATGCTTCCCCAGGCAAAACAGCTGTGATGATGCCTGGACAATCTGAAGGTCCATGTCGATTAGAAGCGAAAGAAACCTGTCTTCAGCAACAGCACCGGTCTGCGGTGGCGCTGCACGCGCAGTCGGCTTTGAGCCAAGGGAACTGCATATCCCCGCAGACATGGGCGTGATAGAGCGAGGGGGAATGGTCAAGCTCTCGACGACTTTGCTGCCTACCAAGGAGTCCTGGTCTGTAACGTCGCGGAGGCCAATGAGGTGCCTGGCAACACCCTGCGGGGTGTGATACATCACTTGAAAAACTTCCGTGCGAAACCTATTGGAGTCGCTGTCCATGAGGTGTGTCAGAAAGGCCTGGGCATTGACGCTCTCAGGGGGACGATCTTCGAAGCGCCGCAGCAGCTCCACAACACGGCCGGCCTCGGCAGCACCTGCAAGCAAGTCCGTGAAGTCCGTGCCAGCCAAAGTTCCTCCTGACCTGCACCGGAGCAGCATAGCAGACAACGAGGCTTTGTGCTCCGTCATTCGCAGATCAGCATCTAGCTCGACCACGGCGTCGCAAGTCAGGTGCAGAAGAGATGATGCAGCATTGAAGTCAGTTTCCATCTTCTTGTACTGCAGACTGCGCTCAATCCGGTAACGCAACAGTAGCTGCAACGACGCGGATGCACACACCGTAGCGACAAAGCCGCATGCTTCTGCAAAAAGTGCTGCTGGTGGCAGTGCTTCCGTGCTTGCACGGATTAGCACCACTAGCAATGGCAAGAGGCTGCATGCGGCAACCACGACCGGGGATGTAGCAATACCGACGGCGGGCACACGGCCGAGGCCAAGAATGAAGAGGGAGATCTCCTGAACAAACGGACACCCAGGGAGCATCTACACCGCGCCGCACCCTGGCCCCTTCAATCCCTAACAGTTTTACACTTTAAAAAAGGACGAAGCAAGACTGCTTGCGAGTCTAGTTTCTGCGCTTCGTTCAGGTGTCACATGCCATGGAGATAGATGCGCTGCCCAGACAAGTGTGGCCAGCATGTAGTACATGTCCAGATATCGCACGGAAAGGACAGCCTCAAAAACATCCACAGCAGTACAGATGCAAAAGACCCCTGCCCAGGACCAACTCAGAATGGCTGGCAGTCGAGTGGGCAACTGCCTGTCCAGTAGCACATTCCGCTGAACAAGGCACAGGCACAGTCCAAGCATAATGCACGTACATCTGACATACCAGCGAGCTATCTGTAAACGAACCTGGCTCACTTGTTCCATCACGAGCCGCTCATCGTCAGCCAGCTTGGGTCGCTTGAATGACCGTCCCACAGTTTTCAAGATGCTTCGGGCCGCAGACAGCAGGTAGCCTCGGTGGCGCACCCCAGAGTATACCAGCCTGCACGCAAAGACGATCTGAAAGGCCCCCGTCACAACGAGAAAACTGGTATCCAGCCTGTTATCCAGCGACTCTGCACCAGATTCCATGAGCTGTTGTCAACACTGTTGCCGAGCACCAACTACCGGCACTGAATTCTGGTCTGAAACGGCTTCCACCACGTCCGAAGCTCGGAGTCTTGGGACACTTTCGGCTTCATTATTGCTTAAAAGGGTTTGGGGTTTAGGGTTTAGGGTTTAGGGACCGGAAAGCCCCACTACCTCAAGACCCCCCAAACCCCCCTTTCTTGTTCTCCATTGGCCGGGTGCACGTGTGATAGATCTGGATCCACTTCTTCAGGCCGCCATGGTCTTTAGCCCGCTTCCTGCGAATGAGGCGGGGCTCTCGGCTCAGGGGGGGGCCTGAACCAGCCACACAGCCATGTAGCGCTATATGGGGATATCATCCATATATTCAACTCTACACCCTAAAGAACATTATCTCCTATCAAGCCCGAAAGAGCACGAAGCATCTAAGGTTAAAAATATTTCAAGGCTTCAAGCTTGAGGATTAGGTTTTAGGAGGTTAAGACTAGGGGCCCAAGATCTGTGATGCTTGAAGGTCTGGGGATCTGGGGTTGATAGTTTAATGCCTCCTACGACTACGACTACGACTACGACTACTACTGCTACTGCTACTCCTACTACTACTCCTACTCCTACTCCTACTCCTACTCCTACCCCTACCCCTACTCCTACTCTGCTCCTACTACTACTACTACTACTACTACTACTACCACTACTACCACTACTACCACTACTACCA